CATTAGAGTTTAGAAGAATGATGGATTATCTTATTGAAACATTATAAAATTCTGAGAGGAGTTGATAGGACGAACCCTGAGGATATTTCCTCTTATAAAGGGAGACTAGAACTAAGGGACACAGTTTAACAAGTGGCCTTGCTTTTACGACTGTGATGTTTTATTTCTCTGCCAGTACTCGTTCTACGGAATTCTCTTCCCCAGAAAGCAATGGAAGCCAGCTAATCAAGAGTATTAAAGAATGTTCAACTGATTTGCAATTAGACTAGGGAATCCAGAGTTATTGGTGGAATGGGGCAGACAAAGTGAAGTTGAGGCCACAATCAGTTCAGCAAAGACCAACAAGCCTAATCTTGCCCAAGTTGATATTCATCCATAGACACACTCCTTTATTCAAAAGGAAGTTTTTACATCTACTTGTAATAAAATTTCACATACAATACTATTGCAGTCAAGTAATGACAGTCACCAACCTAACCCAAGATTTCGTCATATTATACCAAGAATATTGAGGATCAAGCACTTTGTGAATTCCACATGCAGTTGAATGGCAGGATTCAGATTCAGTCTTTTTAAATAGATTTCCTGCATTAGTTAAATGTCCAATTTTAACTTTTGAAAAATCTATTCCAAAAAATTATGAAGTTTCCAGAGTCAATGGACTCTGATTGGTTTTTGGCTGTAGAATCGCAAATTCCAGAACCCAGAATATATTTTTCTTTTCCACACCTTTTGAGATTAAATATAAAGTTCATGTCCAACCTCCGGACTTGGTATATAAATCTGGAAAGGTCCAACTTAACCTTCAGTCCAGGACCCAGATTTGCTGATGCTGTATTGGATTGAGCAGATGGTACCAAAATTCTCATTGTTGACAATGGTTTTGAGCTAAAAAGCTGAGAATTTTAACTTGTTAGCAATTACAAATTTAAATTACTTACACATAGGTGGAACTGGCAGCTCTGCCAAGCTTAAATCTAAAATTCCAATCACATCAGTGAACCTTTCCACTGCATGAGATGCAATGAAAGCACCAAAAAAAAAACAATGATGGAAAACAGCAAATCCTAGTCCTGTCTTTTTCACATCAATTTTTTCAGAAATAAAAATTCTCAAGTCTGTATAAGGAAATTAACATTTCCACTTAATAATCGAACTCTAGCATTTTTAAGAAATACCCAGAAGAGTGAAAATGAAGAAAAGAATCACTGTGACGATTTTAAAAGAAAGGCTGAAAGAAAAAAATATTCTAGTGAACACTATCAATATGCAGTACCAGAGTCAAAAAGTCTCAAGGGCAAGTGACTAAATTGTGGAACTTACTGAAGTTGCTAAAATAAGTGGACTGAGGGATAGGATAGATTTTGAAAGAAGGTAAAGATTTGCAATTTGATGTGGCATGAGATAGGAAATAAATGAAGGCTAATAAAGATAGCTGATTGGTTCATGTGTTCATATGGCCAGTGAAGCTTGGTTCAGGGGATGAGGTGGGTATTGCAAAGAGTCTAGAATCAAGAAGACATAGATAGTTGTCTCACTAGAAGAAAACGAAGGATCAGAGATTAAGTACAGGTTGATAAACATTTTCTTCCTTTACAATCCCTGCTCTCTTGGGTGATCAAATGGGATAAAATCAACAAAATTGAACTTTTCAGCTTGCAGCTGCATTTCAAAAATCTGACAATTGGAACATTTGAACGGAAGTGAACCTGTATGTATCGCAGACTGCAATTAAAACTGTCAAATGTAAACTCATAAATGCCAAGATCCTAAACCCTAGAAGTAACTAAATTAATAGCAGTGTGGAAATATACGTAGACAATGGAGCCACTGGCCTATGTGTGGAGTGATCTCAAAAGTTATTAATTCATTTAAAAATGATCATTCTTGCCAAAGCAATATATTTCATGAAATTAATCTTTGTGAGTCAAAGAAACAAATCAGAAACTAAAATTTAAGCAGGCAACTTCCATAAAATCTAACAGGTAAAAATCAAGTTAAGAATCACATGCCAAGAACGGAGGTCAAGGACGAAACACAGTAAAACAGGGGACCAAGGTGCAGGGGAGGTGGAGGAGAGCTGTCCGTGCAAGAGGGGAAGGGAAACTGCAACCAAGGAAGGAGGGAGAGCAAAGCAAAGCAAAGGAGACAGACAGAGACACATACATGCAGAGAGACAATTTTCTTCTTGTTTAATTGTTGCACACGTTGAAAGTAAATGTTAAATGCAATACCATGTATTACACATCCATATACAAATCACAGTTCCAATTGTTATATAGGATGTTAGTTGATTGCTGTACTTTTTAAAACCTAAAGTGAGACTTGACAAGAGGTACAAACTTTCAACTTACTGAAATATAAATCAATTCTAGAACCAAATCACTTTCATTAGTCTATGCATGTGTGCAAAGTATTCCATTGATTATTTCTTTGCATCTCATTGCATCTCATGCAGTGGAAAGGTTCACTGATGTGATTGGAATTTTAGATTTAAGCTTGGCAGAGCTGCCAGTTCCACCTATGTGTAAGTAACAATAAATTTTAGCAATTACAAATTTAAATAAGTGTAAATATTTAACAGAAGTTGATATTTTAGTAATGTTTCTAACATAGGTAATAATTACAAAGCATTCAAAAAGTCTTTGTTTCTGTGTTTCATAATTCCTCTTGCTTCATGCCATGCTTTCATTTCTCGACAACTAATTGCTCTTTAGCTGAGGTACTTGACAGGGCTTTAAAGAAAAAGAAACAGTTTCCACATTCCCCACAGAATTAGTGAAATATACAGACATTAGCACCAAATACAATTAATCAATACATGCACAGTTAACCTATCATTTTCAGTTAATGACCTTCAGTTCTTAAAATTTGTTAGTATTTCAAAGAAAATTTGATGTTAATTTAAATATTTACAGTTTTATGATCAGTCCAATTAGGTTACTCAAGAACCATGAACTTTATAATTGACTGACTTGCAAAGGAGGTCTAGATTATGTTACAAATTATCCAATCACAACAAAGAATTTACGATAATTTCCAAATGCTGCAGACCAGTGTACATTCAGGTGAATATAAAGAATGAAGCATCAGAATTGTTTAGTACAAAATGTCCTTGGTTTGGGTTTAAAAGAAATTGGCTTACCAGAGTTAAGACATGCAATTTGTAAAGTTAAACAAAATTATTCTCAAGAGATATACTGCCAATTCAAACGGAGGATGTAACTGGTTCACTTCAGAAGGGGTGGAGGCAATTCAAATTCCTACATTGGCTATGACTCCAATTCACTTGCATTTGTTGCACTGTATCAGCTCTTGATGACATGTAAATTCAGAGTAGGAAAATAGGACACATGCTATGTTACCTCATTGAATCACACTATCAACGAAATCATAACATCTTCTTCAACAGTTACAGAAATATGCTCCGCTGAGCTCACCTACTCCCTGATTTGGGATTATAAACTGCCTACCTTGGTTAAATAAAACGTAAGAAAATTCCACTGATTACTATGACAGATACAGGAAAGTCATTTTCTAAATTTAATAGACTAGATTTGTAGCGGGATTATAGGGGAAAAAAAAGTCATAAAATCATACAATACGAAACAGGCCCCTTAGCCCATCTAGTCTGCACCAAGAAAACAAAACTAGGCTAAATTTACACAAATCTTACCTTCCAGCACTTGGCCTATAGCCTTAAAAATGATATTTCAAGTGCTCATCCAATACTTGTTAAAAGTTACGAGGCTTCTCTCCTCAACAATCCTACTACCTACTCAGTAACCCAAACCCCCTTGGTATCCCAGATTCCAAACACCCTCTGGGTAAAGAAATGTTTTCCTCAAATCTCCTGTAAAGTTCTGCCTTTCAACTTAAATTTCTGCTCCCTTTAACCAAGTTAAGTCAGATAATTCACAGCAATGCTATAGGCCTCATTTACTCTTAAAAACTAATTTCTGATTTCACTTCCTCTTGCTACATTTACTAATTATATCTACCTAATCAAAAGAAACCCCTTTGAAGTCATCACACCCACCCAAATTACGTCATGTATGAAGTGTTGATTTCTCATAACTTCAAAACATTTTGCACACTAATTCACTCAGATTGGAAAAAAAAACTGTACTGTCTATTGACTGTCAGCAGGACATTAGTAAACTAGTGTTTTAAGACATGTAACCTAGAGTCCTAACCTCACCTCGAAACATGGTGACAATTATTGTGACAGGCTTGGATATTAAAGACAAAATTAAACTTTATTTCATTCAGTCCTACTATTTTTATTAGTATGTTAAACAATTACTCTCCAAATAAATAATATTTCATAAATACATAAATTTTAAATTTGTCACTTTTCTCAATGATGGGTACACCTTCACTAATTTCTGATCACAGCCAAAAACAGACTTAAAAAGATGGATTATAACGCACAGGTATATGTCAAAAAAAGTAAGACAACAAATATTAGTCACAAAAATTACGTCTTTGTTAAGATGGGGCGATTTTCAATATTATTGGTAAGTTTCAAATACAATCATAAACGCAAGGGTCAAAGACTAGAACATTTTCCATGGCAGAAATTACACAAAATTAACTCTGTACTCCTCAAAGCTTAAAACTCCGAGACACTTTCGATCTTCAAACTACATACAGCATATACGAATAAACGTGTGCGTTTTGTATACATTCAAGTTTACGGCCCACGAATAGGAAGAGACTAATTGCGGTTGAACGAAGCTTTAAATAAAAGTTTAAAAATAGGGAGTGGACGTGGTTATTTCTAAATAGAAGAACCTACGGGGTCAAAAAGATCGTGACTGAACATCTTAGGTGATGAAGTTTATTGGAGAGTACAGAACTTAACAATAAAAGCCCCCCATCCGCCCAAAGCTGCCACTCAGAACACACCCTCCAGGAAGCCGAGGGCTTCTCGTTCCGTTCCCCAGGGCCAGGGCCTTTCAAAGCCCGCGTACTTTCCCCGGCTCCGAGTTACTCACCAGCTGGAACTCCCTGCGTCTATCGTACGCGTTCTGAATACCACTATCCGCCCACAACGATCTGATGGCCGGCAAGTAATTGAGAAAAACCCGCGTCTCCATGAGGCCTGCGGCTGCCCCGGTCAACGCCCTGGTGTCGAAACTCATCAGGACCTCGCCGTTCTGCTGGTTGCCGGGGTCTCCCCAAGGGATGCGGAGCTTTTCCCTGGCATCCACCAGGACTCGGATCCCCTTCAAGATGTTGCTGTAGATGGTCCCCCTGAACTCCTCTTTGGCCTTCTGGTCGAAGTCCTGGCCATGAATAATTCGCATCTGCTTGAGGAAAGTGCTTTTACCGCTCTCGCCGGCCCCGAGCAGCAGGATCTTCACCAGCCGCCGCACGTAGGTCTTATCCCGCGAGATGAGCTCGTCGATCTGCTTGCTCTTGCGGAGCTGCTCGACCTCTCGCTGGGTGAGGACACAACTCGGAAAACAAGCGGCCAGGAGGGAGCGGGACGGCAGGAAATCCGCCATCTTTAGCATTCGATAACATAGTGAGGGCGCGCGGTCACAAGGCGCGTTACCGCCGCCCACGTTGGGGCGAGCGCTCAACGTCACGCACACGCACCTACCTCACTGGAGCGCCACTACCGGCTGGAGGACCAAATCGCTACTCAGGGCTCAGAAGTTGAAATCTGGCGGTCAATACCCAGATTGTTCGCACTGGTCACGCACGTGGACAAAGTGATACCGCGGAGGTTAGGTGTTACAGGTTGTAAATAAGGATTCAGTGTAGGCAAAAAGCTGCAAAAATAGAATTTGTTGGAGAATTGCCTCGTTGCCAGTTGTATTGTGTAGAGCACAGCACTCCAGGATGATGCAGTACACGAGACACTATCTGGACTATTCTAGAGGTCAACGCCCAACAGACCGGCCAAGCAGCGAAACTGCATCTTTAGCAGCCCTATGCTGACAACTCAGACTTAGGCAAGATTCAGCTCCTCGATATTGATCACAAATCTTTTATCCAAAGATTGTGTTCATACTGATATTCTTTTTGAAGTTTGTGAACTTTAATCACCTTACAACAAACCAATGATTCATAAGAGTGATTGAACTTCTGACTAGTTTTCCTGGTTGACAAGGGGAAGAGCCATATAAGAAAAAGTCAAGATTTAAAAATATCAAGCTGCCTTTTGCAGCTCATTATAAAATGTGGGTTTAGAACATAAGAACTAGGACCATGAGTAGGCCATTCAGCCCCTCTAGCCCATAACCTTGCAATCCATTACTAATTAAAACCCTGTCTATCTCCTCCTCAAGTTTACTGAATGTCCCAGCATCCACTGTACTCTGCGATAGTCAATTCCGCAAGTTCACAACTCTTTGAGAAAAGTAATTTCTCCTCATCTCTGTTTTAAATTTGCTACACCTTAGCCTAAAACTATAACCTCTCATTGTAGACTGCTCCACATGAGGAAACATCCTTTTTACTTCTACTTTGTCATCCCCGTTAGCATCTGAGTGTATAAGCCTAAACTGCTCAATATCTCTTCAGAAGGCAAACCCCTCATCTCTGAAAACAATCTAGTTTCACATCTAATAACTGTTGCAGTCAATATGGTTTGTGGTAGACTATGCATAAATTGGCATGAAAATATTTTGCACCTCAGGCTGTGTTTCCCTTTATTTATGTACTTTAGTTCTGTATGTAAGTCTTTGAATGTAAAGACTTTGATGGAGTGAGATTTTGTTTTCTATTTTAGGTACTGAGGGACCTAACACAGCCAAATGCAGAGTAAGTCTTCCTCTACTGTGGTTTAACGGTGAGTTGGGGGGTTCTTTTGCATCCTTTTTCTGCTTGTATCATAAATGGTGGAAATTCTTCCTCCCACCCTATGTCTATACCATAACAAGATATAACCAATGACCATTAACACCAATTGTTATGATGTCTGAACAAGATTGCCAATTGAGTGAAAAATTGCAAATAGAAACAAAGAATTTATACATAAACTCAGCAGGACAGAGAAACAGAATTAAATGTTTCAGATTGATTTCATTGACCTGAAACATTTGGCAGAATCTTTTTGGGGAAGTGAGGGTCTCAGTAGCTGTTTAGAGAGCTAGTACGAGACATATGCTGATCAAATCTATTGCAATTAGCAAGCCCACTGGCAGGCCTTCACCTGCAATTAAGGTGTACAAATCACGCCCAGTGACAGGTACTGGCCAATGAGGGGCTAGAAACTGAGTAGGAGAAGGCTATGGCTACTGCCAGAAGGACACTCCAGGATTGAACCGGTGTATGTTGTGATTTGTGGCATGGGAGTTCGGGAGTGGTGTTCTGGATTTGGGGATTGTGGGGCAGGGAACACAGATTCATAAGCAAAGGCAGTGATCTGGCCTTCAACATCTATCCCCTCAACCTATGTCCATTCCCTCGATCAAGCACTGAACACCTTCACTCACCATCCCAGTTGGCAAGATGTCTGCAAGGTTTACCTGTTGAGAATGCTATATGCAACAAGCTTGTTTGGAGCCAGGTTAATTCCAGCAATGGCGAGCTGTAGTCCTTGCTTAGCCACAAGGCATCAATTAATGGTGAGGAATAAAGTTTGTCATGGACCTTCCCTCCACGAATTTGATTCTAGTGGAGGCGACTGGGTGGGTTAGGTGCCACCCTGCTTAAAAAAGTTGCCATCCTACCTCCAAACTGGCAATCAATAGGAGCACAAAATACCGCCCCACAATTCTGTTTCTCTCTACAGATACTGCCTGACGTATTGAGGTTTTCCAACTTTATTTTGTAATTTCAGATCACAGCATCCACAGCATTTTGATTTTGCAGTAGACTGAAAAATTGCTTTGATCTTAGCCTTAGTTTCTACGTTAAGATTGCCTTCACCTTTTCTAGATTTCTCCCACTAGACAATGAAGTTTCTCTTTACCTATCCTCTTGAATTAATCTGTCAATTTAAACACCTTAATTATATTAAAGCTCAACCCTGTAAATGGAGGGGTGTTAACATGATCTAATGATCACAGTCTTCAGTCTCTTCGAGCTTCGTTGATTGTCTTGTGGTTAGAGAAGAATTTACCAATGTTTTTCTAAGTTGACTTAATTGTTTTCTTCTCCTGTCTAAGGAGACTTTGTGGGTGTGAGGCATGGTGGAGTGGCAGGGGTGGATAAGCTTTATGGTATTTTGGGATGGAACAAACTAGATAGAACAGCTGTTTATTTCTGTTTTATTTCCCAAATGTTTGTATGTTTATATGTGTCTGATGTTGGGAGTGATCTTAGATTTTTAAGTGTATCATTATTAGTGGAGCTCCTAGGGTATTACTCATGATGAGTAATGTTATTTCATAATGACAAAGGGAACTTGCCATATAATGCATTGATGTACAGTGACCAAGTCTAATTTTTGCATGGTATGTGCATTTTTAAGAGTGTTCTTGGAATATAATTGCGTGATTCTGTCCAGTTTTCTGCAAACTTTGAATTTACAATGGATTCAATTGTTGTCTTGTATCTTTTAAGAACCTAAGATATTGGCAGTGTTCCTACCCCCAGACCGGGAGGTCTGGGTTCAGGTCCCATCTGCTCCAGAGGTGTGTACTAACATCTCTGAACAGGCTGATTAGAAAAATTTGTTAAATAAAAACAAGATCTATAGCAAATTATAACATAATTGAGGTAGATAATCAAGCACTTGGGAACATGGGCCTGGAGGAAAATACTATGTTTTATTAATGCTGAATTGCTATTCTTGGGTTTATCAGATATCCTTGGTTTGATTTGAGTTATGGTTGTCACATGTACCTAAGTATAGTGAAAAGTCTTGTTTTGCATGCAGTACAGTCAGATCATAACATATAAAGATCACAGGGTGATTGAACAGAGCGAGGAATACAAAGTTACAGCTGCAAAGAAGGTGCACACAAAGCATGATCAACACAAGGTTTGAAATTTGAGAGATCCATTCGAAAGTTTAATAACAGAGGGGAAGAAGCTGTCCTTGAACCTGTTGGTATGTGTGTTTAAGCTTTGGTTCTTCTGTCTGTTGGAAAAGGTTGTAAGCGATTGTAGGCAGGGTTGGAGGGGTCTTTGATGTTGGCTGCCTTTCTGAGGCATCAGGAAGTGTAGATGGAGTCAATGGATGGAATGTTGGCTTGCATGATGGTCTGGGCTGTGGTCACAACTTTCTGTAGTTTCTTACAGTCCTGGGGAGAGCATTATCAAGCCGTGATGCATCTAGATAGAATGCTTTCTATGGTGCATCAACAAAAGTTGGTGAGAGTCCTTTTATGTATATGCTGAATTTCCGTAGCCTCCTGAGGAAGAAGAGGTGATGATATGTAGAGAACTTACAGCATAGATCTTTGTGATTTAGTCCAATTTGTTTCCTACTTTTATGATAAAGGATGAATGACAGGTATTAGCACGAATTTATAAAATACTAAGTGCAGTTCTTAAAAGGGTAACAACCCCTAAAGTACAAGTTAAGCAAAAGAGAAACTTAAATTTAAAATTTAGTTTCAGGTGTTGGAGAAAGCCTCATGCATACTAGTGAGCAGTACACTTGATTGGTCTATGCTGGCATTTATGCTTCACTTGAGCCTCCTTCCACCTTACCAAATCTAATTCTCAGCCTGGTTTTGAAGTTTTAAGGTTTTGGAAGAATCCCAACATTTGGACAGGAATGGGGTGGATTGTGGAGGAATTTTGTCCAGGTTCTGGGGCTTGGCAACAATAAGAAGGCCTAGGGTTTAGTAGTAAGGAGGGTGTTCTTTTTTTTAAAATAGAAAATATCAACGTAACTGTTTGAATAAACCATTTAAAGAAGTGAAGAGAAATGCTCACCTTAGCAACACAGTGACTCATCGCAATTATTACTGTTAATTCAACGTTAATTTTGAATGGTTTAGCCTTAATGAAAAGTAGGGAAAGAATTAAACATCTTGCTAGTAATTTCTTGACTACTTGTTTTTTCCAAATCTTACAAAATCTGTGTGTACATTATCTGCAGTGCCATAGCAGTAAAGTATTGCTAAAGACATTTCAGTATGTAATAAAAACAAATTGCTGGAGATAGTCAACAGGTCAGGCAACATCAATGATAAGAGAAATAGAATTAATATTTCACATTAATGGCCTGTGTCAGCCAGCTCAGTTCTGTAAGTCTATTATAGGACCCTTAAGTGATATCTCAAGAGGCCTCAAATGTCTTCTCGAGCCAAACTCCCATCCACGCAGGAGGCACTTGAATTTATTTCTGTCTCTGCTGTCGTTCCATTCAGATCTGCTTGCTCCATACCACTTTCCTCTTGCTTTCTTTTTGACAACAATATCAATGTAGATCCTTAGTTCATTATGATAGTGCCATGCCTGTAGTTAATATCCTATTGTATTTTGTAAATGTCTATTGTTTCATCAGGTTTCTTTCATAAACTCAAAATAATTTGTTTATTACTACATAAAACTCATTCCTAAAACCAAGTGCAATACTGGTTAACATCTAAACTATAATTCAGAATTAGAACTATATCCCCTTAGTCCCAACATGGTCACAAAAGAAAACCATCACTGCATAGATGCAATTTGTTGAAAAAAGACAGGGGAGAAAATAACTTCTGGAAAAGCTCAGCAGGTCTGGCAGCATCTGTGAAGAAAAAAATCAGAGTTAACGTTTCGGTTCCGGTGACCCTTCCTGAGAACACCTGAAACGTTAACTCTGATTTTTTCCTTCACAGATGCTGCCAGACCTGTTGAGATTTTCAAGGAATTTCTGTTTTTGTTCCTGATTTCCAGCATCTGCAGTTCTTTTGGTTTTTATGAGAAAATGACTTCTGTTGACCAAATGTCAGAAAACAATGAAGATAATTTCATGACTTCTCATAGTCCATCTGATTTCCTGTCAACAAAATTGAATTACTGACAGCTGTAAACTGATGGAAGATGTTCACTTTGGATTGAAATCAAGCTGGATCAGAGACTTTGGAAAGTAACAATAGATCAGCTTTTCATTGTAGATAATCAATAATACTGATATTTGGAAACTTTCCAGTTCTTAGAAATCTCTGCTGAGAGGGAGAGGTGGAGACTTGCATCTACTGCGTTTCTTTGTTACTGACTGTCTAGGTCTGTAAAACAGAAAACTAAGTCCAGAAAGGTTGCTAGGAACCACTAGCATAGAGGTTCCCCATAGTCTTTTCATAGCTGGGTCTTTCAGCAAATAAGAGCCATAAATGCCTATCTCTCATCTCCCTAAAAGCTTTCTTGCCTTTTTGCCAAAGTCTCTTGACTTTCTATAGATAGCAGATAAGCCACAGCACATATTAAGCTGTTGACTTCATTTCTAAGACAACATATGGTTAAAAACCCTATTCAATCTAGCAAATTTCCAAACCATTCCACACCTTCCAGTTTTTCAACAGCCTCTAAATATAAATATCTATTCTCAACTGTAAATTTTCACTTTCCTCATTAGATAAGAAACTGCATTTTTCACATTTCTATTTGTAAGTAACCAACCATATTGCACATTTCCCCTTTTTTGAATTTTCTGTCCAATTACATTATCGAAAGAGCAGAAAAACTGTATAACTCCCTCCCTAATGGCACTGTGCCTCTCGCAATCTGTCAGTGTTCACACTTAAAACATAAAAGGAGCTCCAAAACTCATGCAGCTCATGCACCATCAATTCAGCTAACTTTTCATCATGGCTAGTAGAACACTCGGATCTGAGAGCATTTCACCAAAAGGCTTTCATGGGACAGGAGCACAAGCTCAAAAGGATGAGCACCTTACAGGTATCTCAGATACGATACACACCACAGATTGGTTTCTTTGGAGCAGAGAAGGTTAATAGAAATGCTTAAGATTATGAGGGACATGGACAAGAGTGTACAGAAAATATACGTTCCTTTTAGTTCAAGGATCAATAACAATAAGGGTCAATAATTTTAAAGTAAAAGGCAGTAGGTTTAGCGAGGATTTGAGGAAAAGATTTTTCACCAAAAGGATGGTGGGAATCTGGAATTCACTGCCTGGGAGGATAGTTGAGGTGGGAAAATGCACAACTTTTAAAAAAGTATTTGGATGAGCACTTGACATGTCATAACATCCAAGGCAATGGACCTACTATGGGAAAGTAAGACCAGTGTAAATAGTAGTATATTTTTGGCGGTGAAGACTTAATGGGCCAAGGGCCTCTTCTGTACTGCAGTGTTTGTATGATTCTATGATTTTGACAATGCTTCAAAAAAGCAAAAAACTGCAGATGCTGGAAATCTAAAACAATTGCTGGTTTAACTCAGAGATAGTAGGAACTGCAGATGCTGG